AAGAACTCTACGTTGTGTGTATCTATTTTTATATTGACCGGAAGGCGCTGGCTACTAACTTTTTAGAGGGGATGTATGGTTTAATTATATAAAACAAAAGCAGAGTTAATACACCTAACCTTTATTTACACACAATTCAAATTAAACATGTGACAAATAGAAAGAACAACAAAAACATTAACAACCATTTAACATAGAATGAGAGTGCCAGGCTCACCTAGAGCTCCTGTGGGGAAAGAGCATGGCAGAGAAACCCACGATCGTTGCTCTTACCACCCAAATATGTATGCATATGCCTTTGCTAATGATAAATAAGTCCTGTCTCATTTAATGTGTCACTAAATGTCATCTGTTACCTCATATTAGTCATACACACTTCCAAGTAAAACTGAAGAGGTTTGGTGTTAGTTAGCCGGCAGAGCCGGAAGGTACTGGAGTCCCATACGGGAGGCAATCCAGCTATAGTTGAGATTTCGGAAGATCCTTCATAACACTGGAGTCCCATACGGGAGGCAATCGAGCTTAATCCAGATTCGTTCCGCACGGGCGAAAATGTTAGTAAATTCAACAAGGCTCGTATAGACGTATGACATAAAGTGAGCACAAGAAATCAAAGAACAACGTAATCAAGATAAAACAAGTTAAATGTGAAACAAAGAAGTTGTTTTGCAATATCTGGGCAGACACGACAATATACATATTTTAACATGTAATAAATAATGAGCAATCTATAATAATAATTGTAACAATTTTATCTTAGAAAAATATACGCCCCTGAGCGTAAGACAATGAAGGCTAAACATATACAGAATTATTATCATGAAACATCTATATTTTACGTATAACGTAATCGTGGCAAAAACAAGTTAGATGTGAAACAAAGAAGTCGTTATTGTAATGTCTGGCAATCAGGACAATACATATATTTTTAACATGAAATAAATAATGGGCAAACTTTAAGTATAATTATAACAATTTTACCTTGGAAAAATATATGCCCTTGAGCATAAAGCAATGGAAGCTAAACTTACAAAGAATTATTATCATGAAACATCTATAATCATCACAATCATAAGATTATATAGAACAATTAACAACAAAGTACTTAAAGAATATTACCTGCTAACTAATAACACTTTAAACAATTAACTTTTCACTACTTTGACACACTGCCCGCCGATCGTCTTACTACCGATCTCCACACTGTTCTCACTTCAACTGCCTATCTTCAACTATTTAGGCTTCCTTCCAGAATTTCCTACCTAAGTGCCTGTTTTTTGTGCTTCCTTCTATCGACCGTTAATATTTCTTTTTCATTGTTATACAACACCTATGTAACAGGTGACGTCGAAGTTGATAAGATAAGTACGGTTTTGCACAATAGAACAATTTAATTTATATCTGAAATCGTTTAAACCGTGTTTGAATCAAGACGGTTTAGGCGCGATGACTATTATAACGATAGCAACCTAATAAAAAATAAAAATTGGTAGTTTGAAAAAGTAGTGTCAGAATTATATTATAGTAATTCATATTCTAAGAGTGTTTGATTTAAAATGAGCTAGGAAGGTGAAGACAAGCATTTACCAGGGGACGTATTGGAAGCGGCACATAATTCTATTTCACAATTAATCCCAAAAAAATCGTCGAGACAGTACGAGATTGCCTACAATGAATTCAAAGTGTGGTGTAGTTCGAAGAAAATCAAAAAATATCCGAAGCGGCACTACTGGCATATTTAAAATATAAAACTAATAAAATTTTACTTTCGACATTATGGTCAGTAGGTATTCCATGTTAAAAAGTACACTAAATGCTAAAAAAATGTAAATATCAGAAAATTTCCAAAATTAACATTATATTTGAAAAGCAAATCAGAAAAAGTCCAGGATTCTAAGGAAACAGGAAATTGAGAGATTTTTACATCGATTTAACTAATTTTGGACAACTTTTCAGGTTATTTTAATAATTGGAGTTTGTAGAGCTTTGATAACGATCGATGGTATAGAAAACTCATACTCCGAGATGTTTTGTGATTTCAAGTCCAAACCAAATGAAGATATACTGTGCCTTTCGTCCGGCAGTTACTACAAGTCGAATATATTTTGTGAAGTATGTCAGGGAAAAATGAGTTAACCAAGTGGTTGACGTCAACAAAATAAGGAATGTGCTAAAAGAAATAATCTCAGTTGGCCTCATCCGGAAACTTATACAGGCCACTGCTTTAGACGTTCCTCCGCCACTCTGTTAGCCAACGCAGGGGCCGATATTACCACCATTAATTATATGGGGGGTGTGTCGTTCTAGTACGGTAGCGGAGACATATACAGGGTGTCTCCGTTTTTTCGTTCTTAACTTTGGGAAATGATAGAGCGTGAAGAAATAATAGGAATCTTTCCTATAACATTTTTCCCTATAGCGCTCCGTTTTCGTGATACAGGGCGTTCAACTCTCAAAAAAATATGTTATTTTCTTTATTATCTACTAAACAAATAAATATTTTTTGTTGAAACTTGGTATACAGTAATCATAATAAAAGGTTAATATTTTGACGTGAATAACTTTTTCCGGCTATGGCCAGTGGCGTAGATATGGGATTTTGTTCTGTTTTGAACCCCCTAAACTTCAACGCCAGTGGTGAAAAGTATTTTTTCAATACAAATATTAACAACTTATTTTAATTTTATGAAAAAACTGCTCTTGATAAAATTCGCTAGGAAGCTTCGTTCTTGAGATATTTAGTCTTTTTCTAATCAGGGTTATCTTGCGAAATTAAAAAATTAAACAAATTAAAATAACAGCTTATAAACAATTTAATTTAAATGATGCTCAAAGTGAGAACCATTTTCTTCAATACAACGATAGCATCGATTTCTTAATGACCGTCTTGTTCGAATTAACATGTCATTATTTATTTCAGTACAAGCTCTTCGAATACGATATAATAAATGTTCTCTATTGTTCACCGAAGTTGCATATACTTTTTCCTTTAAGAAGCCCCAAAGGAAAAAATCTAGTGGGTTAAGGTCGGGTGATCGAGCTGGCCAAGCAACTGGACCACCTCGACCAATCCACATTTCCCCGTAGATTACATCTAACCAATTACGAACTTGACGTCCGTAATGTGCAGGACAGCCATCCAATTGTATCCATGCATTTCTTCTCTCATTAAGTGGTACTTCCTCCCACATATCATTATGATTAGTTTCCAAAAATTGTAGAAACGTAACGGCGTCAAGTCTGTCTGGTAAAATGTAAGGTCCAAATATCCTACATATTTTTATAAATTCCAACCCACACATTTACAATGAATTCTGCTTGAAAGTTTCTAGGTCTTATACCACGTGGATTTTCATGAGCCCATAAATGTAAATTATGAAAATTAATTACTCCCCATCGCCGTCGGATAAAGTGGGCCTCATCTGTCCACAGTATTTGCTGCAGGAAGTGTTTGTTGTTATTCAGGGAATTAATAATGAAATTGCAGAATTCTAAACGCCGTTCGTGGTCTCCTGGATGTAAAACTTGAACGGGATGCAGATGGTAAGCTCTTTGACGATCTTTACGCAAAGTTTTCCAAATTGAAGCTAGAGGTATATTAACAATACGAGCAGCTCTGCGAACACTCATAGATCTTGTTTCTTCGAATAATCGAGGAACACGTCTAGTTCTATTTCGTACTACAACATTATTGTTCTCTCCTAAGCACAAGACCATTTTCTGAAAAAAGTTGATGAACTCTTCTAAATACCGCTGGAGATGGATATCTTGCATTCGGAAATCGTGTTCGGTATTCTGTTGCAGCTAAATCTAAAAGGCATCACTAACACTAACACTTCGACAAACTCTGACCGCACAGCAAACAAACTGATTTGACATGACATCTGTCAATACTATTGTTACAAACTTAGAAACAAGCAATGCCTGCTTAAACGTAAAATTTATGTAATGCTTAAGATAACCCTGATTAAAAAAATACTAAATATCTCAAGAACGAAGCTTCATAGCGAATTTTATCAAGAGGAGTTTTTTCATAAAATTAAAAGAAGTTGTTAATATTTGTATTGAAAAAATACTTTTCACCACTGGCGTTGAAGTTTAGGGGGTTCAAAACAGAACAAAATCCCATATCTACGCCACTGGCCATAGCCGGAAAAAGTTATTCACGTCAAAATATTAACCTTTTATTATGAGTACTGTACACCAAGTTTCAACAAAAAATATTTATTTGTTTAGTAGATAATAAAGAAAATAACATATTTTTTTGAGAGCTGAACGCACTGTATCACGAAAACGGAGCGCTATAGGGAAAAATGTTATAGGAAAGATTCCTATTATTTCTTCACGCTCTATCATTTCCCAAAGTTAAGAACGAAGAAACGGAGACACCCTGTATAAAAGATTCTATAAGAAATAAAATTTCAATCGCAAATAAATTGTTACCATCTGTAGTAGAGCCTACGGAACTTGCCAATAATACAACTTAAACGCAGTAAACTTAAACAATTACAGCAGCAGCCTCATTGAACACTCAGAATTAAAAACCACGATAACTGACGGCACTGGATTTGGCATAAATTTAACTTACTGCACTTTCAATTTACATATAGTGCAAAATAAATTGTAAATCATCCTGTTTATAATAGTTACTGTTTCGTATTGAAATGTTATGTTACTTAAAATGTATATTTTTAATTAATAAGATCATAAATAAATTTCGAAAAAATGACAAATTATTTTGACATTTGTTTTATGTCCTAGAACGAAAATGACTTTGGCGTTCTAGAACATAAAAGTATTTTGCAACTAGTTGACAAAAAAGACTCACTTTGTTGACAGCAAATTTAACAAAAATGTCGATTTTTGATGACAGTTTTCGAAAAACGATGTTTTTGAAATGAAAAATATATTTTCTATTACTACACAAATTAGATAAACAGAACTAGTAGCAAACTTCTAACTTTTATAAAATACATTTCATTTAATGCAAATAATTTTAGGTGTCTATTTTATAAAGAAAGAATTCGCCCCTGTGAACAAGTCCTCGCCATCTGAAAGTATTATAACTGGAGATCTATCAGCAAAAATTATCGATCAGTTATCTTCACTTGTGGATGAAGTAAGTAAATAAGAAAAGAAACCTTTTTTCTACAGCAGATGCTAAAGTGTAAATTCGTAATAATATGTAGATGAAGTAAAATTTTAGCAAAAAGGGTAATACTTTAAGAACAAGAATAAATAAAGATTTCCTATTAGAGACCAACCGATTAATCGGCTTCAGCATCGGCATCAGCTTCCGCCACATTCGGCCATTATTTAAGCTTTCGGCTAAGAATCTGCTTCGGCCAAATTAAACCGAACTTTTCGCCGAAGCCGTTGACGTCGACCGTCGCATCGACATTCGACAGTCATGCTTTTTATTTTTCTATATCTTTTTTAAAATACCCGTTACCCGTTATGTTTTATGTTTATTATTAGAATTTGTTGTTTTATTTATTATTGTTTATTATATATATTATATTTCCAAAACATGCATTTATTTTTTACCTACTTTTATGTTATCTTATCATATTTTCTTATAAATTAAAATTTTCAAGTAATAAAAATATCTTCGGCTTCAGCATCGGCTTCGGCCGAAGGTGACCCAATAATCGAAGTTCGGCTTCGGCCAAAAAAATCACATTCGGTCGGTCTCTATTTCATATTATGTAAAAAATTAACTAATACGTAACGCTGATTTTAACGGTCTTCATAAAGATTTCAATTATGCAATTAATGTAGCCATACTCCATAGCTTCAATTTTTTGTTGTAAAAACAGAACCAACAAGGGGGAGCAGGGGTGTGCACGGCCTTCCCCAGAAAAAAATATCTAATATTATTGTCTATCATCAGAACGTTTTTGAAATTTTATTCGGACCTGGGCCAACCCCAAGCAAAAATTCTAGTTACGCCCATGATGCTGTCCTCAGATCGGCTTCAAAGTTTGCTAACATGATAGTTTCAGAACGACAGAAGCAATGCCCAGTGTAAACTTCTGAATTTGTTGGCATCAGGAACTCGCTAATCTTCTTAGGGACTATAATAAAGAACAGTAATTTTAATGTTTTCGTTGCTATGGTTCGTCCCTACATGGAAAGTTGAACGGGAGGTAAGGTCAGTTAAAGAACTGTTTGACGCCTTCACATTCGGAGAGTACTGCAAAGAGATCGGTTATTACAAGAAGAAATTAACATTAAGGCTCAACTAGACTGAATTTCTTCGCAGATTGAGTAAAAATATCTAAAGTTGTACCAATTTACAAGAAAGTAGTACTGATAATCCAATAAACTATAGGTCAATTTGAATTGTACTGGTAGATATTTTAAATAATACTTCAAATGAAAATACAAATTATAAATTACCTTGATACAGAACATCAATTTAATTCTGACAGACTTTAGAAATAATTTGTAACAGTAGGTTATATTGTAGCAAAAACTCTGCCAAGTGGGTCTATTGGGATGTGATGTTCCCCTTGCTGGCAAATACACGGGGTTAATAAACTTATGTCAAAAATTTAAAGGGGTAAAAGAGGAGCAAAAACTGAGTAAACTGATGTCACAAACTTGTATTGGAAGTTGAAGATTATAGAGAAAAAAGGTAATTAAAAATGTGTTTAAAACTGTTTTGAAACTGCTGAAATACAAGTATTTTATCGCGGCGAGTACTTACAAAAAATTCTGAAACACTTTTTACGAGTTTGTAGGTTTCTTATGAAGCCGGACTGTATTCAAAAATCAGTTTGTAATACATTGTTGTAGTGATTGCTGTGCTGTTTTTCGAGAGTACATTTAATAGCCGTATTTCCAAGTTTTTTTTTTGAAAATGGCGCATTTATTTAGCAACCTCGAATATTATGATATGCTCATAATTTGTGAAATGAAAATGCCCATCCAACTTGTCAATCAAGTGTACCGTGCAAGATATCCTGAACGACGTGCCCCCGCACCACGAACATTTGTTGCTGTGGCGCAAAAGTTTTGGACACCGGTAGTAGAGTTGTTTCAAAATCTTATGAGCTTTGACCTTCATATGCGCAGAAACATAATTCCGACCGTCGTGTCGCCTAAATTATTCTACGTCCTAAAAACATTACATCTAATATTCACAGTCTATCTCGAGCTCTCGTAGCTTAAACAAGCCTTTGATCCGATTCCAAATATCATAATAAAATGCCCTATTCTTTATTGTTTTAATTTAAACAATAGAAATATATATAACGAACGTTTGCCAGTTGACTTTATTGATGCCCGAGCGCCTTAGTTCATTTCTGGTTGTAATGAGGCACATGGTCTAATTCTGAGTCAATATTTCACAACGTGTTTATTAGAAGAATTATGCGGATACGCCACGCCTTTCGCGCATTTCGCGGCTCACGAGATTTTGAAACTACTCTACAATCGCGTTGAGGTTGCGACGGTGGCCCAGGGCGACCACTAATAATCTTAAATGTCGAGGAGAAGATGATCTCGTCAAAGAAAATCCTCATCGTAGCACCAGAAATATCGCACAGCAGGTAAATATTTCGCAACCTGTTGTGTGGCGGACATTACGACAAGCTCAGTTGTATCCATTTCATATTCAACGTGTTCAAGCGCTTACAACTGAGGATCTTCCACTACGTCGAGATTTTTGCGAATGGTAGCTTCAGGAACATGCAAGAACTCCTCAATTTACAGAGCAAATACTTGTTACAGATGAAGCATGTTTCAGTCGAAATGGTGTACGTAACGTCCACAACACTCAACACTGGACTATCGAAAATCCACACGAAATAGCAACAGTTTTTAGTGAACATGTGGGCCGATATCGTTAATAACACTTTAATAGGACCTTTTGAATTATTGCCTAGACGATTAGACGGTGTTTCATATCTAGATTCTTTGCAAAATTGCTTGCCTGAGTTAGTGGAAAACGTGTCATTCAATGTTCTGCAAAATATATGGTTACTGCATGACGGAGCCCCCATTCACTTCTTTCGGAGAGTGCGCGACTTTCTAAACATTACACTTCCCGATCGGTGGATGGGCCGCGGCAGCTCCGGACCTCACCCCATTAGACTTCTTTTTGTGGGGATATGTGAAAAATGTTGTGTATTCCACGAAAATTCGTGACATCGACCAATTGCGATATCGTATTGCCGAAGCTTGTAATATGATTCGAAAGGACGTGGCAATGTTGCAATGTGTGCGAGCGAATTGGATACGTTGCGCTGAAGCTTGTGTGCAAGTAAATAGTGGCGTCTTCTATGAAAATCATCAGCTCTCAAAAGGTAACGTAACAACAATTCAAATTCATGGCTTTGCAGTCGCAAGTATAAAGGCATATGGTTCAGTCGTATATGTAAGATCAGAATGTATAAACGGAACTATTAGTTTAATATGCGGAAAATCTCGTGTAGCCCCGTTAAAAGCAATTTCATTGCCTAGGCTTGAGCTATGCGAGTGTTTACTTTTATCCAAACTAATAAAAAAGGTCACTAATGCATTAACAATACACATAGATGAAATATACTGTTGGACTGACTCTACTATTGTTTTATCATGGCTGTCAGCTGATCCTTAATCTTGGCAAACATTTGTCTGTAAAAGGGTTGCAGAAATACAGCAATTGACACAAGTTAATAATTGGCATCACGTTACATCAGCAAATAATCCAGCGGATATTATTTCTAGGGGTATTGAACTAAAGGATATTGTTGAGTCCACTCTGTGGTAGAGTGGTCCTCCATTTTTATCGAAAGAAGAGGCACTATGGCCAGATAATCATATTTCTAAGTTTGTGCGTAAATCAGATAAAGCACCAGAACGCAGAAATAAAACATCACATTCCGTCTCAAATGATGACTTTTTAGAAATATTGTTTAGTAAATATTCCACATTGCCTCCGTTTCATTAATAATTTGAAAACGGCTCGGGGAGCGAAACAAACAGCTTCGCTCACTGTAGCTGAGTTATCACGTGCAATTAAATTGCTTCTAAAATTAGTTCAGTCGCAAGCATTTTCTGAAGACATACATTCATTAACACTCACAAATGCGGAAAATCTAACAGTAAAATCAAGGCTCTAAATCATCGATCAAGAGGGAATTTTACGCGTTGGTGGCAGATTAAAACATCCGATCTTATTGCCAGCTAAACATGCTTTAACAAATTTAATTATAAGATATGAACATATTCGTAATTTACTTCCCGGTCCTCAAACTACTCTTGCATGTGTAAGGTAAAATTATTGGCCTTTAAATGGGAAGCAAGCATTAAAGTCCATCGTAAGAAAATGTATACTTTGTTTTAAGGGTGAAACCATCTTTCATGTCTCAACAAATGGGAGATTTGCCCGAAGCTCGTGTGACACCTTCGCGTCCATTTTCATTTTGCGGAGTAGATTATGCGGGACCATTTCAGATGAAGGATGAGAAAACTCGCAGCAAAAAAATCATTAAAGGTTACATTTGTATTTTTGTGTGTTTTTCTACAAAGGCAATGCATATCGAACTTGTTAGCGAGCTTACTACAGACGGTTTCTTAAACGCACTCAAGCGGTTTGTATCTAGACGTGGCTTGTGTAGGAAAATATATTCGGACAATGACAGAAATTTTCACGGAGCAAATAATAAATTATTATCAGAAATTAAAACTTTATTACAGAATGATATATTTAAAGATTATTTACTTTACATGCAATATAGATTGAACTATTCCTCCACGAAGCCCCGATATGGGCGGATTGTGGGAAGCAGCGGTTCGGTCGGTAAAACAGCATTTAAAATGTGTTGCAAAAAATTTCATTTTTTCTTATGAAGAGTTTTATACTCTGTTAACGCAGGTGGAGGTTGTTTTAAACTCCCGTCCTATCATTACTTTATCCGACTGCCCTGACGACCTGCAAGCATTAACACCCAGTCATCTACTCATTGGGGGAATCCCTAAATTCTATTCCAGAAGTAGATCTAAGCGATGTTCGAGTTACCTATTTGTCAAGATATCACCATTTAGTTAAAATGTCACAAGACCTATGAAAACGCTGGAGGAAAGACTACCTACAGCAGCTGCAGCAGCGCACGAAATGGAAATTTCGCTGATTGGCGCCTTGGTACTCCTGGTGGAAGACAACGTCCCCCCGCTGCTCTGGCCGATGGGTCGCATAGTTCAGGTTCATCAAGGGCAAGATCAACTAGTGCGTGTAGTGCAAGTGAAGACGAAAAATGGTGTTGTGAAACGCGCCATAACCCAACTGTGTTTAATGCCTATGGAAACTATACGTGTTTAAATATTTTTTATCATTATTGTTAAAATAGTTTTTGACTTGCTTATTGAAACATAGAGGTTTCAAGGGCGGCAGTATGTTGCACCAAGCGTTCATTATGCATTTTAAACATTACGCCATGTTTGGCATCACAGTAGGTTTTTATTTGGTACCTAGTCAAAAATAGTCAAGAAAAGTTGTAAAAAAAATGTTGATATGTCATTACAAAAAAATTATCATAATCATTATTGTAATCCAAGTAACAAAATACAACCCACTAATATAAGAATATAATATCTTTGATTCAACACATAATCATTCCCGAGCTGTAAGAGCCCTACAAGACGGGTTTGTAGCTAACAATCACCTAAAATCATGTAATTTCTTACGAGAAGCTGTGGAATTTTTAGCTAAACTTCAAATAATAATAATTTTTTGAAATCGTGCTTAAAAAATATACCTAAAAACTAATTTGAATTTCATTTATTATCAGAAGCATCTCCTGATACAGATTTGCAATTAAGGAAGCAGGATGCTTCAAACCCTTTTTTCTGGGAACGCAGTAAAGGTTGCATACTTATTAGACCTAATAATTATACATTTTTAATAGATGTTATATTCTTATTCATAGCCTCTAAATATTTATAAAATGTCAAATAGAAAATGTTCCATCGGTAATATAGGCAACTTGAAAATAATTTTTTTTAGTTTTTCTTTAAAATCTGTTGTAGAAAAAAGTAAAAGTTTATTCAAGAAGATTAACGATTTAACGACTATCAAAAATAGTTCATAAATGAACAATATGCTAGTTGATAAATTGTAATTTTATCGTTTTGTACGAAAAATGATTCTTTATGTTCTCTCTTCCCAGATATTAGTTCCTCTCGTCTCAAACTCTGCGAATTGCGTCCAGTGGCCTGCAGTTGTTTCAAAAGATGTTCACAAACATATGCATAGTTTAAAAAGCACCGTCTATCAGGTAAAAGGTCAAGTGAACGGTCATACGGTTTTACCCATGCCAGTGGGAGTTGACAAAGTCTTTGAGGTCGAAAAAATCTTGATGCAGAGCAACGGGGAAGTATGCGATTTGTATTTAAAAAGTGCGATTGAAGGCATCGTTATTAAATGGTCCGCACAAATAAGCGATGTTTTAGCTAATGACCGGTCGGAAAAAAATTCTAGTAATTTGAATCCTATCCCTTCTGTAGGTAAGTTTTTATACAGGGCTGATTCCGTCATATGTTAATTTTAACAGTGTATTCGGAAGGCCTAATAAAGACGGAGAATCGAAATAAAATAATTTTGATCGACCATTTAAAAAATAACTCCCGTTAATTCGGCGTTCTACTTTGCGACACGGAACGCGCCGGCGCATACTGGGGCGAAAAAGTTTTTTTTTTTTTGTTAAAAAATGGCTACAGGTCTCTAAACTCAACCAAATAGAACGTTCGAAAGCTTAAAATACTTGTAACTGAATTCCGAATGAAACCTCGATGCTCGACACAATAACCTCAACCAGAACCTCCATAAAACCGTATAGGCCAAGGGTCGGCAACTGGCGGACCGCGGTCCAGGTCCGGACCGCGGAAGGTAAAATACTGGACCGCTAAAAATTTTTTTAAAGTACAAATTGCTCAAATAAATTATTTAAAAAATGTTTTTTACGTTTAAGTGCCAATCTTATCATTTTTTCTAGTATTTTACAATTGTGTGTGTTTTGAGTTCTTAATGGTTAGTAAGCAGATTAAATTTGAGTCCAAATTAAAATAAAAAATAAGAAATGTGAATTTTTTTTCTGGACCTCGTTAAAAATTTTCAAAACTATCCGGACCCCACCTAAAATTACTTGCCGACCCCTGGTATAGGCCAACCAATAGAGCGAAAAAAGAGGCTGTTTTTACACTTAAATATTACAGCAAACTTCATGTATTTCCTTTTTAAAAATACTTAGTAAATGAAAACCCAAGTGATTTCCCCAACAAAGTCGTGAACAATTTTTTTTAAACAATAAAGATTGCAAAAAATTAAATTTTTTGTTTTTTTTTATAATATCCAAATATAATTATGGAATCGTCATTCAATAGGACTTTTTTAGAGAATAAAAAAACGTATGAAATGGTTTTTTGTGCGACCCGATCAGTTCATTTTTACAGAGAAAATCCGAAAAAACCTTTAAAATAAACCTTTCTTCAAAAATTCATGACTCCGTCAAATTTGAAACTGGAAAAACAATCTTGCGGAAATTGACAAATAATAATATGTAGTTTAATCGTGCGCAAGATGATTTGTGTCCGATGCATAGGTTTTGCACAATTGCATTATGTACAAATTAGGGTGACGATTTATCAAAAATAGTCCGATTTAGATTCTGAAAACGGAATCTGAAAGTAGACAACAAAATCTCCAATTTGTATATCTCGGATTTTCGCCTAAAAACACCCTTGATAGCATACCATATCAAAATGATCGAAAGTACGCTCGAGCCAGAGTCTAGCGGTAGTGGGGGAAGCAGCGAACGGAGCACGATTCCATGATTATTTTTCGAGATATTATAAAAAAAGAAACAAAAAAATCTAATTTTTTAGTTTTCATTGTTTAAAAAGAAATTGATCACGACTTTGCTGGGGAAATCACTTGGGTTTTCATTTACTAAGTACTTTTCAAAAGGTAATACATAAAATTTGCTGTAATATTTAAGACTGCCAAAAAATCTCTATTGGTTGGCCTAGTATTTTCAGATCTGTAGAACTCCGTGAGCACATAACCTTTTAATACTGAATATTCTAAACTATAAAACATTACAACCGTATAACCCTTGATGCCAAACCTGATAATCCAATAACCAATAATCCTTCTAGCCTCCGAAACCACATAACCTCATAACCTGATAACACTATATTTCCAGAACTGTGAAAATCCGCAACAACATATCATATTGCAATTTAGCTGCATGTTTTCACTATGTTGTATAATTGAATATGAGTTTTTAGTATTATGTCCAATTAATTATTCAGTTTGTAGCAAAATATTCATTCATCCGTCCATAATACTTTGTTAAGTTGAGATCCACTGCACTTTGATTTTGAAAACCAACTGTAAGACGACTGGAAAATCAGCTGTTTCCTGTGGTGATTTTTTCGATTTTCTGTCTTTGTTAGACCTTGCGCATACGTGTTTAAAATTAATGACATTATGACTGGATCATACTCGTATATCTTGAAATCATCTTCAGTTAATATTTTTATAGGATTTGGCAAATTAACATATTTTTATGATATTGTTGTGCTTGCAGTAATATCCATTTGTGTTTAGTCAAATTCATAAAAAACGGATATAAAGAATAAAATTGTTTTTATTTATTTTATTTTAGAATTGCAATTTTGGAATTTGCGGCTAAGGAATCTACAACAAATATACGAACAACTAAGAGAACCGAGGGTAAAGAGCATGGCGGTGGTTCTTGAAAAAACAAATAGTGCCTATTATAGCTGTTTCAAGGACATATTTAAAAATATAGTTATTGCTTTAGCAGAAGCCAAAAGCATCTGTCTGTATTTAACACCACTGAAGAAACACATTCAACTATTAGAAGAAACTGACTTTAGCGAATGTACTCCTCTTTTAGCTCCAGTAATGCATGTCATTTGTTTAATTTGGTGCAACTGTAAAGCATTTGATCAAGTTAAATTGATTACTATATTAAAGCAGATTTGTAATCTACTCATCTTAGAGGTATGTATGTTTGTATACAGATTATTAATGATGTATCAAATTGTAGTTGTCATTAAACACCAACATTACAACTTTCAGGCCAAGCGGTTTCTGGATCCTACTACACTCTTCCATAGCGACATTGACGAAGCGATGCAAAGAGTTAGCTTATGCATAAAAACTTTGAAACACTTTAATTTCGTTTTTACTGTCTACAAAAATAATTTGAAAAGGTTTTTCCAAAATGAAACACCGGATAACTGGAATTTTCATCCCATAATGATATTTGGCAGGCTCATAGCCTTCTTGGAGAGACTAGAAACAATTCAATGGTTCTTTAACACTGTGCTAGAGTTTAGTAAACTTCAAAAAGTTGAGATAGGTGGCATTAAAGGCAGATTATTAAGCGCTAGAATCGTCATGGTATTCGAGGAATTTCAGCAATGCTTCTCTTCATTTTCAGGGATGTCTTATGACGTACTTGATCCAGATGATTCGTCTTTTAATGTAGAATTCGAGCACTTTAAACAAAAGGTGACGGAAATGGACATAAAATTAGCAGCTATTTTATGTCAAGCGTTTGAGGATTGTACTAATTTGGAAAGTATTTTTAAGGTAAGTTATGTATCAATATTACATCAGTTATAAAAGTGAAATGAATATTTCAGCTGATAAATATAGTCGGTTCGACTCTAGAAAGACCAGTCATTAAGGCGCAGTTTACCAATCAGTATGAAAAGATTTTGCATATTTTGGAAAATGAGTTGAAAATTTGTCAGGTAGGTATATCAAATCTAGATCACTTCACAAAAACATACACTTACACTAGAAAAATACCTTCACCATTAAATTGTTTTTGTGTAAATACATAGAGGAGAAGGTCAGAATATGGGCCCCTATTTGGTTTTTTTTTATTATTATTATATATTTATTATTATTATTAACAAATTTTTTGACAAATACACCTAAAAACTGGGACACGCTTAGTCCAAGAACTCGTCTACAATAATGAGCGCGGCAAAGTTCCGGAAAGATAAAAAATACTGAGATATCAGTTAAATTATGAAAATTGAACAATATCTTGTACGAGGGTAGAGTGTATGAATTATGGGCCCCTATCAAAAATGATGCATAAGTTTACGTTTAACAAAGTAAACTTTATTTTCTAGTAAAAAACTTCATATATAATTATACAAAAGAGTAATGGCAACAACAGAAATTAGAAAGAAAGAAATTATTTGCAAAAGTCACAAATGTAATTTTTTTGTTGTTTACGCTATCCATAGCCTTTATCATGTCTTCGGAGTTCCATTGTTTTCTTAAATTCTTTGGTAAAACTTTGCTTTTGTTACATGGTTAACCTAGAAAAAGAACTGAATTCAAAATCAGGGGAGAATATAAGCTCTGGCCCATATTCGGACCCACAAAAGGCCCATATTACCAGCATTGCATGTCATTCAACAATAGATACCTATTGCATTTAAGTGAACCAAAATATTCTCTGAACAAAACAAACTTTGATCTTTATACAAAATGTCTAGGTGAATATACAAACATACCTAGTCACTAAAAATCGTATATAACATAATAACAACTTACCTTCAGATAATATTTAGAATTCCAGTAACACATTCACCACCACCTGTTTCTAACAATATAAGAAATCAACTGCACAATGTCGGTAAAACAGTTCGCTACTAGGTAGCTGTCTTTTAAAGTATTATTCAGTGATGCCCCTAGATGTTCTAGTAGGAATAGCCATGGGGCCCATATTAAGTAGATGGCCCATATTCGGACCTTCTCTTCTATTACTCTAGTCGTCTAGTCGAACTAGATCATAAAACCTGAAAACTTGAAAAAATTATTAGTACACATTTTATTGCACTTTATGATGTGGAAGGTATGTAGAATGATAATATCATAAAAGTAACTCGAAAGAAGTTGGCAAATTGAATTTTTTCACTTTTTTTACTGCCCGCGAAAATCTAGACGGCCTATTATTTTATGTTATTAAATTACCTAAAATTTAAGGTACCTAGAGTCATTTTTCAATAAAAATAAAAAATAAAGGTCGAACGCAGAAATATCAGTTTTCGAAAATTGTGCATTATCATTGCAAAAAGTGATGGATGTTGATGAAATTTATGGAAAAGACGGTCAATCCAAAGTCCAACATGTGTGCCAAAGGCCGACTCAATTTACCGCGAAATTGTTGCTGCAGTAATTAATTTCGTTTGTTTTTTTCAACTAATTATTTAATTATTAAACGTTAATTTTAAGTTAATATCGTAGATATAGGTTCTAATTAATTCTAAATAAACATATCTAAAGAGAACATTTTCAAAAAGTTGAAATTAAGTAGCCCTTTACAACAAGCAAAGTAGGACGTACAAAACAGGGCCAGGCAAAAGCCGCACGCCCTTTTTTCATTAAAGAGAGCATATTTTTACGGTAAGTTTAAAAAAAGAGAAATCACCTACGCCTCTTTATTCCCAAGATAACTTTTTTTATAATGTTAAATGTTAATTGTTAATTAACTATTGGACGTATCGGACCGGGATTTTAAAGACAATTAAAGAAGGGGTTAAACTTTTATTTCCAAAAAGTTTTACATTGATAGCTCATGTAATAAATGCGCTAGCAACAGTAAAAATTAACGTGAATGAATGGTCTGCATGAGAGAGAAGGAGCGCTAGACCCGCGCACGCGCGTGAGCGCCGTTCTCGGTCGCGGGCGAGATTTTTTAACTTTTTAAATACAGTGTTGTTTCACTTAAGTCGGAACACCTCCGTATTTAGGATGGCGTTGGCCGATTTCCAAAATTATTTCTTTTATCTGATAGTATTCGAAAAGACCTACTTTTTGATATTATATTTTTTTGATATGTCTAATCTTTTCTTCGGCCTACCATCAGTAAGAAAAGATCCTCAAAAATTAAAAACATATTAGCCATTTTTTTAAGAAAGAAATGGCTAGCATTTTCGATTTGATCAAACCTCAAAACCCTAAATACAAAGTTTCATTATTATAGCTTTTACAGAGTGTTCACAAAATCGGTGCATACTTCCAAAAATTTCACTTGCAGTGTCCGATACCACTATTTTATATCTGTCAGACGCTTTGGAGAATCAAGTTGAAATTTTCAGGACCTTTTAAGGGTACTCCAACATTAAATTTAGTTGTATAGTGGAAAAAAGATCTTAATTAGGGAGTGGTTTTAATAATATTTTTGCAAAACCCCATTTTTTATTTAATTTAAATTAATATTCGTAATTTTCTACACAGTTTCCACAAAAATGGTAAAAAAATCATTTACTAGTAATTCAATTTTAATTCTGGACTTGCATAGCTCCATAGCATAGTAATCTTACATTGTAAAATAGCCGTGAAAAATCATCATTAATAATAGTGAATTTACCGTTCAAGTTATGTAACTTTTCAGGATACCCAGTTTTTAACTTTCCTCTTAAAGACGGCATAAGTCTGGTTTAAAATACTAACATCATTCACCAGCACTCCACACGCATCCTCAATTTTGCCCGAGTAACAACTACGGTGCTGTAAACCTTCGACTTCCAAAAGTTTCAGATAGTAAAATCTAGTGAATTTAAGTCTGGTTAAAGAGCGGGTCAATCAATGTATGCATCTCCACCTCTCCCCGATATAAAGTAATTTCCCCATTTCCAACTTTCTGTGTGAATGTCATTAGTAGCCAAATTATATTTTTTTATCCCTTTTTCACCAATCATGATGACTTTCGAAATTAACGTATGAAATAAATTAATAACTGGATTTCCAACATTCTTTATGAATGTCATTAACAGTTATAGTCCGTACGATATTTGTTGAGATATAATTCCAAGCAGACGCCTACGTCACTTTTTTAGAATTAACCGCATTCGACACCCGAACTAGAAAGACATTGGCGGAAAATTTCCAGGCACGCCCCAGCCGCGGTAAATTGTTACAGTAGTTCCGATAACATAACTTATTGGCTTATTATTTTCTTGGAATTCTATCTTGTAACGTTATTTAATATTTGTCCTTCTGGACTGACAAATTTTGAGGGTAATTGGTTACAAAACCTCAAATACAAATATGCATCCAGCTAAGCTACAGTAGGGTACAGTGAGATCACAAGGTCGTGGGGTGTAGTACAAAGTCTTAAATGTGTAGATAGTTCTTAAATTAGGAAGAAGGGCAAGATTTAAACAATATGTACTTAAAATCACTTTACTACAATAAAAGGTTAGTAAATGGCTAGTTTTACAAATAATCGCTAGGAGCAACTTTTATCAATTTACAATTAGGATTGAAATGTCCGACAATAATTTACACAACAGATTAACTTTGAGTTAAATATCTCTACTTGATCACACTTTTACAAACAAAACAACAAAACTGATGTGGGTTTCACTTCTGACAAGATCGGGTAAAAAATTGGATGGGTCTTACGTTGTTATATCTAGAATCAAAGGGGGGTGTTGACGTAATAGTCGTCTGTCTGGTAGAGATGGCCAATGGTTATCGGGTGACAGATTCCATGACAACCTCCTCCCTGGTATATTAAGGTGAGATGCCCTGAATCCAATACGGTGTTGTCTTGGTCAGAAGATCCGTGGTGTTGCGTGGTGTTGTAAGTTTGAAAAATAGAGAATAAAAGATATAAGCAGGTAGGATATATACAAGGATGAGTGTTGGAGAATACTCAATCTGATTGTCGGTGATTTAGCATGTAATGTACAGATTTAAAATTAATATTTACAATTATTGTTCTGGTTAATTATTCTAACTATGTTAGGATTAGTATGATGAAATATTGACTAGGATGTTGAAAAGTTGAATGAATTGATACTAGAAAAGATAAAATAGAATCTTCACTATTTGAAAATTTGAGTAATATTTCATTCTAAAAATTTTCCAAATATTATAACAACATTTTACATATTAAAATGGTAAATCAAAATTTACTACATCAATTTATACAAACAGTAAATAGATAACTCGAAACAATCAGATCGTATCTTAGTATATAAATTTTCGTACAAATAAAATAAAACACCCTATATGAAAGTTTAAAAAATGATGTGTATGAAAATGTGGTAAAAGAAATATATTTAAATAAAAGATATGAACTAAATTTTGCTATGGCTTGAATTTAAAACTTATAATAAAAAACTAGAAGATAAGATAAGATAAAATACGTTTAGTGCAAGTTTTTCCCATCCCTGAAATTAAAAACAACCACAAAAAGGTTAAATTGGTGGCCACAGGAATCGTCGAAACAAGCTGCCTTTATTAAGAAGTAAATTAATAAAAGAAACTTACCCCAATCAAATCCTTAGGTACGTTGGCCTACCATTTCCGATCCAGACTGTATAAATTTGCCAGGGGCTCAGAGAAACTCTGCTAGTCTGCGACGAAATCAGAAATTCTACCAGCCTTTGTGTGATCGCTAAACAACAGGCGATGTCCCGATCATATACTCTGAAAGCATAAAAAAACACAACAGAACGGGTTTTCAAACTTCACTAAACGAAGAAACTACAAGATAAGACCCTTCGTGGATCTTTTCTTGCCACGTGCCCTTGACACAAAATGGAGGTCAAGTAAACCTAGATTTAATGAACAAAATATAAGCGTTAGCAAAATATGTATCAGCAAAGCAATTATAAAACAATTAATTAACAAGGAATAAACCACATTTACATACCAGATTGAAAAATTTCGGTGTGTTTCCACGATAAACCGAAAATGGATGGTCGCGAGTACGATCTAGTTCGTTTCGATGACAAATCAAGAAGAGACGAGAGTAGGTTGGTCACGGCTTTTAAAACTCCGGTGTTACGCCATCTACGTTAAAAGTGAGGCTGTTCTACGACACGGGTTGTTCGTCGAGTTAGCACGGGATAGGTCGGGAGTAATTAAGGAGTAAATATAGGTGTTAAATTAAAAGTGACGTTATACAGTGTGAATAAAGTAAATGAAACGAAATTAATAAAAATTTCGTTACAATCTCAACAAATATCGTACGGACTATAGATTATATAGGGTGATCCAGAATTTCCGAAAAAATTGTGCAAAAACGTAAAGAAACCTATAATCAGGAAACTGCAGATGATACCGAAGAATTTACAGAAAGCATTTTTGAAGAGACAGATTTCTTACAAGATGAAGAAGATGGCGATTAATTCATTCCTATTAAAAAAGTAGAATTGACCAACATTAAATCACATTTTTTATAATAAGAATAAAAGTTTTAATTTTTATAGACACATATATGTAAATCATTATGGCTATGTATTTTTTACCGTCCTTATGTCCTTGAAATTTTTAAAAGATACAGTAAAGCAAAAAAATTAAATATGAGAAAAAAATAATATTTATAGCAGTCAGAAGTACACCATACACCATACGCCATACACTTTGTAGGAGGATATCTTTGTAAATCTGGATTATTAGCTTGGTAAATACGACTTGCCAATAAACAGTTACCATGGGCTTCTCTTCTTCTATTAAACCTTTCTTTCTATTAAACCTTATGTGAATCGAAAATTTTCCAGTTTATCATTTGACAGGAGCCTACTACGTTATTTTACATAATATAGGCTATTTTTGCAAACTTCGCATTTTTTCATAGAAATGAGATTTCATGAAAAACTAATGAATTTTGGTATAGGAGCAGGTATAGCAAAGTTGTAGAGAATTTAATTCTGCATCTCATGGTATGAAAATATACAGGACGTTGCATTTAAAAAATCGAGATTTTCAATTTTTCAATTGGCAATTTTGACATGATATTTTGGTCACCCTGTATAACGCAGGCCAGTTTTTGGAGCATGATTCGGAAGAGTCATCCTTACTAAACATCTGATAAAAAAATGGGCTTAGTAGCTATTAGTATAACCTGT